CACCCACCCACCCCACCCACGAGGCTCGCCTTGCGCAGGCTTGCTCGAGGCGTTGCACCGCAAGACGCGAGCGCGCATCCTCGAGTCGTACTCTCTGCCGCCGCCAGGCGCGCCACCCGCTTCGCCCACGGACCCGTCCATGACACGTCCATGACACGTCCGTGACACGTCCGTGACACGTCCACGATAGGCACGCCGCCCGCATTGTCCACGGAGCCGCTCACTCCGGCGACGGCGTCCGCTGCGCGCAACGCCGCCGCGGTGCGCGCGAGCGAGGGGTCGGCGCCGCCTCTCTCCGCCGGAGGCGAGGGCGCCGCGCGCCCGAGCGACGAGGCGGAGGGTGCCGTGCTGGAGCAGTTCAAGGAGATCATCCGCTCGCAGGACGCGGCGAACGCCGCGCTGCAGGACCAGCTCGGCGCGGCTCGCACCGAGCTGGCCGGCGCGCGCGCGGCCGCGGCCGAGGCGGCGGCGGCGCTGGCGGCGGCAGAGGTTGCCGCTTCACACTCCAAGGAAGCGGACAGGCTGCGCGAGGAGCGGTCGATGTACGAGCTGGACGGGCAGCTGTGAACGGCGTCTCTTCACACCACTGGCTGTGAACAGGAGTTGCGCGAGCTGCAGTCGGCCGTCGACGCGGAGCGTGGCGAGGCGGCCGCCGCCGCGGCGAGAGCAGGCGAGGAGGCGGCGCGAGGCGGCGCCGAGGCGGCGACCAGTAGGGCGGAGCTCGAGGCGATGACGGCGGCGTACACGAGCGCGGCTGCGGCGCTCGCGTCACGAGACGCCGAGCTGGCGGCGGCGAGGCGAGGCGCCGACCCGAGCGGTGTGGGGCCGCCACCCGCTGGTTCGCCGACGGGGGGCTTGCTGCCGTGGCAGCATGCCCGCCACGTCGCGGGCGGCGCCGCAGCGGTGCCCGACGCCGCGCTGGAGCCGGCTGCCGCCGAAGAGCTGGGGCGGCTGCGTCTGCAGATGAAGCTGCGCGAGGCTCACTCCGAGGGCGTCGCGCGGGAGGCAGAGGCGGCGAGGGCGGAGGCGGAGGCGGCGAGGGCAGAGGCGGCGGAGGCGGAGGCGGAGGCGGAGGTGGCGAGGGCGGAGGCGGAGGCGGCCAAGGCAGATGCGGAGGCGGCGCAGTCGCGGCTCGCCGAAGCGGAGGCCGCACGCGGCGGCGTGGTGGCTGCGGCCGCGGCGGAGGCGGCGGCGGCGTGCATCCAAGCAGCCGGCTACCGCGTGCAGGTCGAGAAGTTGCGCGAGCGCGTCGAGGCGCTAGAGGCGTCCGCCGCCGAGAGCGAGGCCGCCCCCGGGGCTGCGCCTCTGGGCAATGAGGAGCCGGCGGAGAGCAGTGCAGACGTCGCCGCTGCACAGGCGGCGGCCGAGGCGGCGGAGGCGGCGCGGTCCGAGGCGGAGGCGGAGGCGCGCGATCTGTCGCGGGCGCTGGATGAGGCGAGGAGCAAGGCGGATGCCGCCTCGGCCGCCGCGGAGGAGAGGCGGGTGGCGTTGGACGAGCTGACGGAGGAGCACGAGGAGCTCCTCATCTGCCTCGCGGAACAGGACGCACTAGCGCAGGCGCTGCGGTCGCAGCTCGCCACGGAGCGAGGCGCGCCGCTGCCAGCCACCCCCGCGACAGCAGCGCTCGAGGCCAGCACACCGGAGGCGCTCTTCGACGCCTTCACACAATCTAACCGTGAACGAACTCATGCGTACGGGTCGGTCATTTGATTCCTACGCAGTCCATTGGCAATCCGGATGCATCTCTGTGCCGCCGCCGCCGACGCGCCGTGCGCGCGTGTTCGAAAGCCATTGTGTGCTGCTCTCTCTGACACGCTGTCATTCTCTATGTCGGTGTGGTGGAGAGAGGCGAGAGCGGAGGGCGCACGATGACACAACGCTTAAAAAACCATTCTGACGAGCCGCCGAGCATACTTGCGTGGACGTTTCGGGCTCCTATCGTTCACCCCCCAGCGCCGAGATATAACCACACACACGCGTCACGCGCTGCGCCTAGCAATCGCGACCGCCTAGCTTCACTAGACGCCCACAGCCCTCTAAGCGTGGTACGAGAGTACGTTAGTAAGCCCAAGAGGGGTGCTATGTAAAAAGCCTGCCCCATGGCCACAACCGCGTCATGAGCCCCGCTGCGGCACACCTTTCGCCTCCTCGCCGCCGTGTTTCCACGCAGGCCCTCGACCGGGTACGCCTCCCTCCGCGGCCTCCCGGACGCGCAGTTCTTCCACGCCATCACCCGCCACCATCCCCGCCGCCTCCGTCCGCGTCGCCGTCGCCGCCACCTCCGTCCGCGTCGTCGCCGCCGCCGCCTCCCTCCGCCTCGTCGTCGCCGCCGCCGTCGCCGTCTGCCAGCTCGATTGCGACGCAACTTGCGATTAACCACCCGTACCTCCAACTCCTAAGCACTTCGGGTGCCCCCCCCCCCCCCCACCACCACACACACACACACACACCTATCCCCAATGTCCTAGCCTCGCCGCCACACGCGCCCTGCCGCACAGGCGTCTGCCGCACGGACGAAAAGAACAAGGGCAACTTTGACGAGCTTTGGGGTATCGAGCGGGGCACATGGGGTGCCACGACAGTGTGTCTCTACACCCTCGGCTGCACCGGTGTGCGCCTACCCCCCCCTCCCCAAACTCCTCCCCCTTGGGGCGCAACACACACCGCGCCTCGGCCCGCGCAGGGTTCGAGTACGCCGTCGAAGGCAAGGCGTCCCGCTGCAAGCTCTTCAAGGCCCCCATCCTCTCGACGCTGCCCGTCGGCGGCGCGAGCTGCTACAAGAAGGCGTCCAAGACGGAGCTCGGGCCGCACAAAAAGCGGCTCTAGTGAGGCCGTCAAGGGCGACCTCAAGCCGTCCTCCTTCTTCTCGCTGCGCGGACTCGATCATGAACATCTCGCACGAGTAGAACCTCTCGCTTCCCCTCGGGGTAGCCCAGTCTGATCGGGGTGGAATGCTTCCCACGTCCGCGTATGTCTCCCAGGCGCGGCAGACTTTGCATGCTGCTGCTGCTGCTCTCCCATCTCCACATCTTCTCAGGTCATATTGATTGATTGATGGGAAGGCGAAACACAGCTTTGCTGGTTGCGGGTCGTCGAAGCGAAACGAAATTTGTTTCGCAAACTTTTTCGGGGCGCTGCGTAACAGACGACGGCAACAATGACAAGCGTTGCGCCCGACAGCGTCGGCGTCGACGGTGTCTTCAGCAAGTACGACAAGAACCAGGACGGGCTGCTCGATCAATCTGAGGCACTGGCGCTGCATGCCGAGCTACAGCGCTCTGAACGCAAGGCGGCCCGGTTCAAGCTCGCCGCGTGCATCTTGCTGCTCGCGCTATCCATAGCGCTGGTTGGCATGCTCGCCATGTCGCTCATCGCCATCGAGCTGACACAGCAGCTCCGCACCGACGCCTCCCTTGGCGTCGCGCGCACGCCCAGCGGCAAGACGGTGCATACGGGGCACAGCGAGGTGGACATGTCGTCCCTCCTCGAGCGCAACCGCCGGCTGCGACGCCTCGTGGCTGTCAACGGCAGCGCCGTGCCGACGTACGAGTCGGTGAGCGTCGCGGAGGCGCCGTTCAGCAAGTGCCAGGAGGCGTATGAGCTCGCGCTCGCCACCGGCGACATGACGTACTCGACACGACTGTACTCCAACGGCTCAAACGGGCCAGGCTACGAGTGGTACGGCGGGCGGATCACGGGGGAGCACACCTTCCCCGACGAGGCGGGGACGACCATCGTCAACATCGAGAGTTTGGCCGAGACGACGGGCGGTCGCGCGCTCGACTACGCCATCGCGTTTAACCGCGCGAGCCCTGCGGCCACGTGCGAGGTGCTGCTGGGGCAGGGGCACTTCACGCAGCTGCGACGGCTCACTGCGTCGGAGGAGTGGGCCGAAGTCAAACGCCGCCGGCTCAGCTCGCGCAGCGCGCTGCAGGACGACGGCTTCTGCCAGCTGTACCACTGCTTCGAAAGCGACGACGGCTGCGACCACCCGTCGGACCCGTCCAAATGTGCGACGTGGAGTGCGGAGGAGCCGCCTCGCTGCGTCGAGCCCTTGTGCGCGCTGGCGGACAAGCGCAGGGCCGATGCCGCCCGCGAACCTCTCCCGCCGCTCCCGCAAAATCTCTCTCTATATATGGAGACCCAGGGCCGCCGACTGCATTCGGTGTTTGAAGGCTGGCTTGAATGTCAGGAGTCAATGGGGGGGGGGTGTGGTTGGTCGACGGCGACAGGCCACCGCTGCTATCCGAATTTGGGCGAGTCGGACCACTGTCGGAAAATCAAGCCGTGCTGCACAGGATTTGGTCAGCCGGCGGGCGTGAAGGCTCCGGATGATCCGTACGGCTCGTGCAAGTTAGGATGGGCCAGTGGTGACATGTATTGCGAGAGCGGCACAAGATCGAATGTTGACTGCTTCCCCTCCGCCGCCACCGTGACGCGTCTGACGAAGGAGCGGCACACAGAGCCCGTGACGGTGGACGCATTGCAGCCGGGTGACGCCATCCTGGCGGCGGACTCGCGTGGTCGCTTCTACTATGACCGCGTCTCCGTCATGTCCATCGCCTCGCCCGACGTCTGGGCGCCATACTTGCTGCTCACCCTCGTCGCCGACGACGGCGCCCCCGCGGCATCCCCCGCGGCATCCCTTTCCGTCACCGCCGAGCACAGGCTGCCAGTCGGCCCCACGTGCTGCCGCGAGCTCACGCCTGCAGCGAAGCTCGAAGTGGGCGACGCCGTCTTCGTCGCACTCGACGCCGCGGGCGCGTCCCGCCCCAACGCCTCCGCCACTGCGGCGCGCGCGCATCGAGCCCGCTCGGCGCGCGTTGCGTCGATCGCGCACGTGTCGGCGCGCGGCGTTCACTCGCCCGTCCTCGTCCACGGCGGCTTCCCGGTCGTCGACGGCGTGGTCACGTCTTTCGACGCGTACGAGCAAGTGCGCCAGACAGCGACGTTCACGCCGTTCTTCGAGCTCACGCTCGTGGACTGGACTGGACTGTACAGCGCCAGCAGCATCACTTGCTCGAGCTATCGCTGGTTGGCACGCCACACGTTTGAGGCGGTCAAGTGCGCGCTTGGCGGATGGTTTGGTGTGCGTGTGCCACACGCGAACGCGTGCCGCCGAGTGGAGTACATCGACGGCCTCGTCGTCGACACGCAGCGGCTCCGTGCCAACCTGGGCCAGCACGGCTTCTTGCTGCTGACGCTCGTCCTGGCCACCTTGGCTGTCCTGATGCTGATGATGATGATCGCCACGCCGGCCACCATGATCCTCCCCGCCGCCGCCGTCATGTGGCTGTCTGCTCGCTGCCTCATGGGCGATCGATCCTCAAAAGTGAGCGTTGGCCAGCTCGGATGGCGTTGGAGGATGCCAGCATGATCTTTGGTGAGGAGCCTCACCGCCATGCAACTCGGCTCGTTGCTGGCTGACAGAATAGAGGCGAGGAGTCGGAAAGGATGAAGGTCGTCATGGTTGACGGTGAGGTGAGCGCTGTGCTCCCTCCACACAGACACACATGAGTTTCATGAGCTATGGAATCCATATGTGGCCATATGTCGCATGCTGCTCCATTGTAAACCATGGGTCCCAGCGACAGAAATCCGTTGCACAGTCGGTCAGTACGTCCTGCAGCGCCGTCTCTCACATGCTTGCAGACGTCTATTTGAAATATACTACTCGCTCGTGACTACTACTCGTAAAAAAAAGACTAAGCCCCCGAAAAAGGGAAAACTAAAGGGGGAACGCGGGAGCCGAGCTAAGTTTTAGCTACTCAGGCTATCTTCTTCAGCATCGGGGCGGGGTGCGCACTGCGCGCCGCGAGGATGAGGAGCCTGAGCCAGGGGAGGGTTGGGAAGGGGGGGCGAGGCCGGAGGAGTATGACGGCCTCTTCGACGGCCCAACGCCCATAAGGGGCCGTTATGGCCTGCTCGAGGAGGGAAGCCTATAAAGTAGGAACGTGTCAAGAGACCGACGTGACGTACACAGTGACACATCACAGAGGACACATATTCTCCCACCCGCCGTGCCGCCAAAACGCTCTCGACGAGAGCCACAAGAAGCCGTCCGCACAGCAAGCCGGTCGGTCGAACACGTTGCTCGCTCGATGCCGGCGAGCGCATGTCGCACGGTAGATGGTGGCGTGGCTAACATCACCGATGACGGCGGTGTGGGGCCACGGCGAGCCTCCGCGAGAAAGGTCAGCAATCTACCCAACGGTGTTGGGGTTGCAATATCCGCCCTGAAGTCCTTCGACACGAATGACGAGGATACGATGGGGGCAGTACCTAGCCGCATACTTGCCATCGGGAAGAGCGGGATCGGATTTCCTACTCAACAACAAGCTATGGCCACACCCACAGTCAGAGCCCGCTGCGTAGTATTGGGAACCCCGCGTGTAGTAGCCTCGGCCGCTGTCCGTGATCATGCACGAAGTGGCCCACTTGCCCATCTTGATCACTTCTATTAGGGCCACGCTCAATTTGGCGACGACCGCGTCGTGGCGGGAGGTTCTCACCGCTCCTGCACATGCTCACGCACACTAGCATGATCGTGTCGCTCCCTCGCTTCTCTCTCTCATACGTGACATGATCTTGTGGCTCCCTCCTCTCATACGTAGCATGGTCTTGTGGCTCCCTCGCTTCTATCTCATAGTGGCATGTCCTCACGCACACGCACCATGCTCTCACGCACACCTGGGGGTATGCACAGTGCTCTCTGTACTTGCTCACTTGTTTGCGTGTGGCAGGTCCGGGCGGCGGCGGCGGCAAGAGACCGCTCCCCTCAGCCGCGCCGCCGGGCGCCGCGCCGGCCAGCTGCCCTAGAAGCGGAACATCTCCCCGTATCTCCCCGCATCTCCCCATATCTCCCGACATCTCCCCAGCGTAAAGGGCGTGGACCGTGAGTTGAGGAAATCGGGGGACGCGACCCACTTCGCCACAGACGGTCCCGCGCCTCGCCGCTATGACGGGGACACACCCCGCACCGTCCGCTGTGTCCCCGTCTTTGTCCGGAGTGAATACTCCAACGCACTCGTCGGTGACGGTGTCCCCCAACCTCCGCCGCGCTCGGCGAACCTCGACAGCGCCTTCGGTGGCATGCAGCTCTTTGCGACAGAAGCCTGGAGAGCAGCTCCTCTGCTGCTCACGCACTCTGCACCGTTGACACAGCCTACTGTGCGGCTGCCACAGCTGTGACAGCGATGGGCTCGCCCTCACTGGCCCTCAGTCACTTGTGCTGCGGCTTGTGTGAGCGACACTGCTCGGCGACTGCCGGCACACTGTGAGACCATGGGTGTGAGGTTAAACCACGCTACCAGCGCTTGGTCACATCGGCCCCGAGGTCAGATCCATCTACTCTGTTGATGACAAGACTTGTCTACTGGCTGGAGCCGAGCAGGAGGGCCCAGCGCACAACCCCTGGTCAACTCAGGGTCCACACACCCCGTAAAGCGAGTAAGGCCGCGAGCTATGCAGGTGATCAATTGTGCAGCATGGCACGGTCAGCAGCGCCGACAGGCTGTCGCAAGTCGTGATAGCATGGCCGCAACCGATTTCCCATGAAAACAAGAAAAATAAAAAAGAAAAAATCGGCGCATGCGTCGGGCTGGGGGACCCCTTCTCCCCCCCGCATGGGTACCCTCTAGGGCCCCCGCGCCCCCCCAGAGATCATACTCTTATCACAGATCACAAACGACGACACTTTTCAGGTCACGCCGGCGATGCAAAGCCGAGCACATCGAGAGCCTCCTCTGCGTGCGCCTCGGATGGGTCGATGCAGCACACCAGGGCTACGCGCGCCTCGGGCGAGAGCGCAGGCCGCAGCAGCCGCGTCAGGGTCGACCCGTCGTGTCGCGCCACTGTCGCCGCGCCTATCGTGTCGCGGCGGACGCATCGGGGTCCAGATCTTTGACAGCTGTCTGGCGTGCCCCCCCCCCCCCCCCCCGGGCCCGGTGCCGCCGCGCACACCTGGGGGCGGCCTGCCCAGCGGCGCGCGGCGCAACTCTGACACGATGCGCACCAGGGGGCTGAACGACGCGTCCGCGTGCCGCGGATCCTGCGGGGTCGCCGGCCCCTGGGGGGGAGGGGCGACGAGGGACCAGGGCTCGTGGGAGATGCGAACGAGGGAGTTCATGGGAGGGAGGGAGGGGGGGGGGGGGCCATTAAAGGGGGGGGGGGGGAGTCCCGCTATTAAAATGGCGGTGCCCGCAGGGCCCCCAGGGGGACACGAGCGGCGAGGTCCACGAGGTGGACCTGGCCAACCGAGGTGTGCCCA